AGGGAGAAATTCTGAAGTCCCAAGGGGTCCCTTGCAGGTGAGCTTTTGTGCCCATGTGCCTGTGTTGAGAATTTCACATGGTCTTTGTCATCTGATCCCAACAAGCCCCTGGGGAGCAACTGTTCTTGTTCAAGGAGGAAGATTTAAATTCCACTATGAGCTTGAGCGTCAGTTTGACAACCTTGGAGCAGTTATCACGGCTACAGAAGTGTCAATAGCACTTCTGTCCGAAGTTGGTGAGTTTGGTACCAACTTGGCTGCCATATGACTTTGATCATGAAATTGATAAGAACTGAAGTAAGATCTACTGATTTAATCTCTTCATTATTTGTATATAATTCAAATATTAACTTGGAGGAGAGAAAATATTTCATGTGCTTATTTTTACCTGGTAGAATTTCAGTAGATTATGCTGTTAGGTGTTTTGTTTGCTTGATTTTTTTTTGAGTAAAGATAACTACTTTGAACAATGAAAGTCTTTTAAAAATCCTAGCTAAGCATACGGTTGACTTTGCTGTAGTATTGTTGAATTTCTCTTTCTACCTCTCTCTGTTTTTCTTCCCTCTTTCCTCTCCCTCTCCGTTTGTCACTCCTTCTTCTTCCTAGCTCTCTCTTTTATACCAGTTTTACTGAAATTTACTATGTGACTGATGATTTGAAAATGTTATTTAATACTGAAGTGGTACTCTTAACTTTCCAAATCATAACTTTTTTTCTCTTTAACTCTTTGTAACTCGTGTTGAGGAAGAGAAGTAACTCAATCCTGCCCAATCCCAAACGTTTGTAGGTAATGTCTGAAAAGAATGCAGTGAATTTTCCATTGTGATGTTTATCTGTATGGCTTCATGTCTGTGTGTGTTGGCTCTTGTATTACATTCCTCCAGATTAAATTCTGCTATTTCAGCATTTAATTATAGTAAGTAGACAAAAACCACAACAATTAAAAATATGAGTTTTTTTTTTTAAAATCATAGCTCCTTTTCTTCCTATAAATATAGCAATTGACATGAATTAACTACTTTCCTGGTCTAAAGTCTACCCTCCCTTTCCTGGATAACAAAAAATGCCCTTTTGTTATTGCTGTTGTTACAGTGTTGGAGAATAAACCCAGGTCCTTGTACATACTGGGTAAGAACTATACCACTGACCCACAACCTCTATCTCTATCTCTGAAAGATATATTTATAGCTACTTTTCTATTGATCTATTTTGCATGGGTTGGATAGGCAAATCTTACTTGAGTTGACATAAATAACCTTGAGTATCAAGATATCAGATTTCCCTCAGACACTGACAGTCTAAGAGCTCAATGGCTGCTCCATCTTAGGTCTGCTCATTACTGGATGGAGGAACAACTCTGGTCTTAGAGAAAACTTTTCCCTTCAACATCAGAGAACACTCGATTAAACATGTCTCAAAGTTTTTCATTTTTTGTCTTTTTTTTAATTACTCATAATGCTGAAATCTATTTTATATATTTTTAGAATTTCATGTAATGGATTTACATGATTTCTCTCCTCCCTCTAATCACTCCACAGACCTCCCTTGTTCCCCCTCAATTCACAACACTTTTCTTTAATTATTATATATATACAAGCAGTCGAGTCCATTTAGTATTGTTTTATGTACATGTTTCTACACAGTTCCCATGTTTTGTCATTAATGTTAAGTATGAATGAAGATCTCCTAGGAAGAAGTTCTCAACAGGTGACATACAGAATGAGACTGTTCCTAGAAATTCTTTCCCACTTCTTTTCTGAGTCTATTTCTCTCCTACCCAGATGCCTCCTGAATTTTCTAGCAAGTAAGCTTTTCTGATAGTAGATTTTGCGAGTCTCTGGCATTATCTTTTTTTTTCCTTGTACAATTCTGTTGGTTTTGACACCATGATGGGAAGGAAAAGTCATGTATGTTAAAAATAAGTCAACATTGTAAAGAATGAATTGTCTCAGATTTCAGAAAATGTACCACTAAGAAATGTTTTCATTGGTGTCCCATTGACACAGCTTGCAAATAGTACAACATACATGACTCTTTATGAAGATAAATTGTACATAAATTGGTTCATCAGTTATATTTGACTTTCTATTTCTAGCTAATTGCCATGGTCAGGTGCTTACTATACTCTACCTAGTATACTTTCAATAATCTCTCTGTGTGATATCAGGCTTACTGATGGCCCCATTGTCATGAAAGCTTCTGATGAGGTGCATCTCTTCATATATGCAGAGTTCTCTTAGAAGAATTCATTTACTTTCTTGTTTCTCCATCCTCAGATACCAGATATATTGTGTGATTGTGTTCTTATCCTTATAAGGACTTTTAACCAAGAATTAAAATGAATAATTTACTATATATTCAATTTTTATTAACAAATATATTTTGGGTAGCAGCTATGTTCCAGATGTAATAATGGAGATAGTGATGAATAAAACCAACCTTTTTCCAATTCTGCATGAAACACATAATTAGTTGAGGATTCTGGACTGGTTAAATAGTTGCAGAAAATGTTCTGGGAGAATATTAAAAGCAAATGCTCCAAGATCAGTAAAGGCCTTTCTGACAATGAGCCATACAATGCAGCCTGAAGGAATGCAAGAAACAGTATCTCTGCTCCCATGTGAGGGAATTTCATTAATTCATGAACTATACTGTTTATTGCATTCCTTTCAAGTAGCAAGTGATATGTTGTCTTAAACCTCAATTTATAGGATCATTATTTTAACAATTGTGAAATTCTAATGGTAATGATGATGGCAGCAATAGCAATATCATCCACTATTTCTCACATGGGAACCAAGTTTGATATAGCATGAATTATTTTAAAAAGAAATAGGCACATGATAAAGCTTTGAGAAACAAAGGACACAAATGAAAGTCCAAGGGTCAGTGCCTTAAGGCTGTGTCAATCTCTCAAAAAGTGATTAATTTCATATCAAAGATCAATTGTATTGCACTGAGTTTCAAGGAATCATGGCCTCATAAGGGAAGGTTCTTGTTCCAAAGACCAAAAGAGAGATCTTCATCTTGATGACAAAATGAAAAGTAACAACCCAAACCTAGAAAAAGCCAAAGAGTTAAGATTTAAAAAAAAAAAACTGAGAATTTTGTACATGCATATATAACTCATTTGATTCAAACCCAACCTCATTTCCCTCCCCTCTGACTCCTTCTCTGTCCTCCCCAATTTTCCATCCCAATTTCATGTGCTGTGGTTTTAAGCTTCCTTAGTGCTGGCTGCACATTCACGGGTGCACGAGCATCTACTATAGTGTGGGTAGCTTTTCAGGGGCCATGTCCTTGAAAAAACCTGACTCTCCCTTCCCTAGCAGTCATCAGTTGCCAATAGCTCCTCATCTAGGGGTGGGACTTCATATGCTCATCCTCTGTCCACAGTGGGATTTGGATTGGTTTGATCTTATGCAGGTCTTGTACAAGCAGTCACAGTCTCAGTGACTTCATGTGTATAATGATGCTGTCATGTCTGGCAAACCCTGTTTTCCTGCAGATGTCCACCACCTCTGACTCTTACAATCTCTCTGTCACTTCCTCTGCAACAATCCCTGAGCCTTAGGAGGGGGGAAAGCGTATAATATGGATGTCCTATTTAGAGTTGAGTACCCTATAGTCTCTTCTCTGAATATTAACTATTTGTGAGTCTATGTACTAACCACCTTCTACTTTTAAAAAAAAAAGATAAACCAATGTATTGATATAAAGATAAGAACTTAGGGGGTACTTTATTTCTATGTTCATTTAGCATTAAGTTCTTCTCTAGGGCTTATAACTTGGCCAGCCATGGGTTTTGGAGTCATTTAATAGCACAAAGCATGAGTTCCATCTTGTGAAGTGGGTATTATTATTAATATTATTGTTATTATTATTTTATTATGGGTGTGTGTGTATGTGAATGGAAGTGCCTTTGGAGGCCAGGGGTTTTGGAATCCCCTGAACCCTGAGTTGTAGGTGTTTAAGGGCTGCCTCGTGTGTGTGGTGGGAAACTAACTTGGGTCCTCTGGAAGAAAAGTAGGCAGTCTTAATCACTGAGTCATCTCTTCAGCTTCTGGAGCAGGCTTTAAATCCAATGAGAGAATGGCTGGTTACTTCCATAACATTCATGCTATTATTGCACTAGTGAGCATTTAATGCCAGACCAACTGTTACTGTAGTTCAAAGATTGTTTATTATCTTCTTCTCTCATAGTGTGCATAGCACCTCCCAGTATTATGAAAACTATCTAGGAGAGATGAAGTTTCCAAGTCAGTACCAGCTTGATTTCTTCATGTCATATAACTCAAATGTGTAATGTCTTCAGCAATAGGATCTTGCCATTGTGTTCTAGAGGGTAACTAAAAACAGTGGCAATAACCTGTAAATAACAACTCAAAAAAGAGGTAACACATACATGACGCCAGCCTTTTAATATGATAGCCTATGTTGTTTGGGTTAGCATTGTACCCCTATTATAGTTATTTGCAGGCAAGTTGAGTAGTGGGAAGGAGGTCCATTGATCACAAGTGGAAGGGGGCCATGTCATATTTTTTACTCATATTTCTAGTTAAATAAATGATATTTGAAGGATATTTTGAAAGCTACAATATTACCTGTGGTCTGAGCTTGTAGTCATTTATCAATCAGATACATTTCTCTGCAATTTATAAATATATATTTCAAAATGCTATAGCCCATATAGAAACCTGTGTGACCTCAATAGGTTCATCTCCCCACTAGACCTGGTTTATATGAAGACAAAACTTAATTTTGGTTATCTAGTGCAGAGTCTAAATATTCATTCATTAAGAAATATTCACCTTCATTTGTCATTTACATCAATGAAAACAAAAAGAGAGGAAATATGAAGGAAAACATTTCTGCATTCCATGAGAAGGTACTAATTACATACTTTCGTTCTTCTTTATTATTAGTAGTGCTGATGAAGTGTTGTCAACTCCTATATAGATTCCTTCAAATGAGTCTGCCCATCAGAGGCTCCTGACAGCATGTCGCTAGGCAACAGCTCATGGATTCACCCTTCATCCTTCCTGCTCTTGGGAATCCCGGGACTGGAACGGTTGCATTTCTGGCTTGGTTTGCCATTTGGTACAGTCTATCTTATTGCTGTCCTAGGAAATGTCATCATTCTCTTTGTGATCCAGCTTGAACACAATCTTCACCAGCCTATGTTCTACTTATTGGCCATGCTGGCTCTGACTGACTTGGGCCTGTCTACGACAACCATCCCCAAAGCACTCAGCATATTCTGGTTTGGCTTCCACAAAATTGCCTTTAGGGATTGTTTAGCTCAAATGTTTTTCATACATCTGTTTACAGGCATAGAAACATTCATGCTTGTAGCCATGGCTTTTGATCGCTATGTTGCCATTTGTAACCCTCTCCGATACAACACAATCCTCACCAACAGAACAATCTGTGTTATTGCTGGAGTTGGACTGTTCAAAAATTTCATTTTAGTTTTTCCACTTATATTTCTCCTTCTAAGGCTTTCATTCTGTGGACACAATATCATACCCCACACATACTGTGAACACATGGGCATTGCTCGACTGGCGTGTGTCAGCATAAAGGTCAATGTATTATTTGGGTTGATACTCATCTCTATGATACTTTTGGATGTTATTTTGATTGCTATTTCATATGTGAAAATTCTTCATGCTGTATTCAAACTCCCATCCTGGGAAGCCAGGCTCAAAGCTCTTAATACCTGTGGTTCCCATGTGTGTGTGATCTTGGCTTTCTTCACTCCAGCCTTTTTCTCGTTTTTGACTCATCGATTTGGACACAATATTCCACGGTATATCCACATCCTCCTTGCTAACTTATATGTTATCATTCCCCCTGCTCTTAACCCTCTTATTTATGGGGTGAGAACCAAGCAGATTCGAGATCGTGTGGTGATATTTTTTTGTAAGGAAGTTTGACTATGAGCCTCTGTGTAGCATGAATTGTTAGAAGGTCTTATTAATAAAATCAAACTCGGAGCCAGGTAATGGGGTGAATGCTGGAAGATCAGAGAAACAGAACAAGCCACAGCTTCCTCACCTTGCCGGTTCCTCAGCTAATCCTGTTTCCTCAGACTGGAAGCCTCTGAGTCCTCATCCAAATGGGTCTCAGCTGAACTGCTGCTCAAAGGCCTAAAAGCTTAACCAGGCTCTAGTTCCTCGTCCTCATGCCTTAAGTACCTTTCTGTTTCCTGCGATCACTTTCTGGGATTAAAGGCTCTTGTTACCATGCCTGGCTGTTTCCAGTATGGCCTTGAACTCACAGAGATCCAGGCGGATCTCTGCCTCTGGAATGCTAGGATTAAAGGCGTGTGTGCCACCATTTTCTGGCCTCTATATCCAGTGGCTGTTCTGTTCTCTGACCCCAGATAAGTTTATTAGGGTGCACAATATTTTGGGGAACACAATATCACCACACCTCTGACTTGTAGTCTTCTGATCTTTTTCTTTCATATTCTTAAAAGAAGAGAATTTATGTGTAAGTGAGTTTAAACCAAGTAACTACTTTATAGAATATTATGTTAAACACACTATTTTTTATATTCATGGACAGTAAACAAGATAAATTTTATAGCAAATATTTGTTCCAAGTCTAAATAAAAAAATTATGGTTTCACAAATGGGCTCTATTTCTATAATAGACATTAGAATGATGTTTCAAGGATAAAGCAGCTCCAGTACTATTTCACAATACTTTTAAACAGAATCCATTGATTACGGTGGAGGGGTTTGATGACACCAACATCTATCATCAATGCACTAGGGTTGACAACACACTGTTCAAGAAGTGAGTTCCAGGAGTCCTGATCAAGAAATCAATCACAACTCAAATTTCTTTCGTGAAAAGATTGGCTCCCATCATTGTGTGACAGTGGGAAAGAAAATATTAACAAAATATCACAGCATCTCTTTATAATCTATTCTCATGACTTTTGGGGGAAAAACAATTGCAGCAATTACCTAGGACCAAATACGGAGAAGTCTTCACTTTAAGTCCAAGCAAGGAGGAATTCTCCCAGATGACAAAAACAAAAAGAAAATGGAGACATCAGGATACAGCACTAAAGTACAGAGACACAAAAAAGAAAAAAAGAAAAGCCTCTAGTTGTAACCCTCAGGAAGCCCCTCATGTACAGAGTGAACTTCATCTTGGTCTCAGCTAAGCTGGGGCAAAAAGTTTGCCAAAATCATCTAACTTCACTTGCTACATAACAAACACTGCATCGTTTGAAGACCCAATAGACAGACAAGAGTTTAAAGCCCCTTCCAAGCATGAAGGAATTCTTCCAGATGCCACGTATGCCTTTTCCACATACAGTCTAGACATGCGCAGTAATCAGAGGATGGGTCAGGGATTCACTAAGCCTTGATGGAGACAACTGAGCAAACTCCTCACTCATCCTCCGACCTTCATAATCCCTACTCTGATACTGATTAATTAAAATATTTAAATTTTGCTTTTTTTACAATATGATACTAAGAAAATGAAAACAATAACCCAATACTGGAATAAGATGCTTGTAACTCATATCAGACAATATATTTGAATCTAAACTGTACAAAACTTTTTAATAAGTGAACAATAAAAAACAAACATCCCAAATTTGAAAATTTTGACAAATTTCAAAGAGGTATTTCATAAAGAGATGAATGACAAATAAACATATGAAAAGTCACTAGGATAATATAAATTGAAATTACAATGAAATGACATTGCACATCTACTAAAATGGCTAATATTAAAAATATTAGTCATACCAAATATTAGAAAATATAAAGAGAAACTGGAATCCTAGTACACTATTGGAAGGAATGAAAAATAGAAGAAAAATGCTGAAAAAAGTATCATATTTTCACAGATTTTCCCCATTGATATGTGATATGACTAAACAAATCCATTCCCAGTTATTTGTAAGAAAATAAAAAACCTATCATACAAAAATTCATATATGGATATTCATTGAAGCTGTACTTATAATTGCTCCAAGTTAAACATTTATCAATAGATGAATGATTAAGCAAAAACATTACAATCAGAAGACTGCATGGTGTTCAACAACAAGCCATGGATGTCTATGACAGGTATGGTTTCCAAATTTATAATGTGTAAAAGAAGCCAGGAATCTTCTCTGGGCTCCACACTAGGGCTCACAGCCCCTGACAGCTATACAGAGGTCAGAGCAGTCCTAGGGACCCCAGGGGAGACACTGTGACCACCCACTAAACCTCTTTAAGCCTGTCCAACAACCTGAGACTGCACCCCCATCCAAGGAACCCCAGGTAAGACAGGGCCCGCTGCCAGCTAACACTCCTTAAAACCCACCCAGTAACACAAGACTGCACCTCTTCCGCTGGGCTCCATACTAGGGCCCATAGCACCAGCAGATAAGACACAATCCTTTAAAGCCTGTCCAATACCCCTAACTGCACACACACACACCAACTTCCCACCCTTGGCTCCATACCATGGTCTACAAGTTCAGAAGAAGCCTCCACTTTACCAGAGGCCAGGCCATTTCTAGGGACTCCAGATCTACAACTTCAGAAGAATTCAGCTTTACTGGAGCAGAGGCCAGATCTAGAGACCCCCATGCTGGCAGCTGTACTGGAGGCTAGGTCATTGCTATCAACCCCAGAGACCAGACCAGATCTAAGGGCCCTAATCTGTACTCCCTCCCCTGGGCTCCATATCCTGGTCTACAACTTTGGAAGAAGACTTCGACTGTACAGGTCTAGGAATCCATAGCTCCCCTAAACCCAGAGGGGACACCGTACTGAAACTTAAGACGTGCTAGTCACCAGAAACCTTGGCTATTTAGGCCAGAAAACCAGAGAGAAAAAAAGAAACCAAGGAACAAAACACCTGTTTAACAAAGACAATTGCAGGAATCAACACCGAGACCTAAAATTATCCCAAATCCAGATGAGATGCCTAAATGCCAATGTAAGAACACAATCAATAACAGAAAAGGCAGTATGTCATCACCAAAGCCTAGCTATCCTAAAACAGCAAGACCTGAACAACCCAACACAGCCGAAGCACAGGAAAATGACCTTAAAAATTACTTTATGGAAATGATAGAGACCCTTTAAGAGGATATGAACAAATCCCTTAAAGAAATTGAGGAAAAGACAAACAAAAAATTGTAAGAAATCAATAAATCTCTAAAAGAAAACCAGGAAAAAAGAAACAGATAAAGGAAACTGTTCAAGACCTGAAAATGGAAATAGAAACAATAAAAAAAACACAAACAGAGGGAATCCTGGAAATGGAAAATCTGGGTAAATGAATAGGAACTACATATCCAAGCATCACCAACAGAATACAAGAGATGGAAGAGAGAATCTCCGCCATGGAAGACACAATAAAGGAAATAGATTCATTAGTCAAAGAAAATGTTTTAGGAATCTTAAAAAATTCCTAAAACAAAACATGCAGGAAATCTGGGACACTATGGAAAGACAAAACATAAGAATAGTAGGAATAGAAGAAGGAATATAGCTCAAAAACTCAGAAAATATATTTTAAAAAAGTCATAAAAGAAAATTTTCCCAACCTAAATAAGGACATACCGATAAGGGTACAAGAAGCTTACAGAATACCAAATAGATTGGATCAGAAAAGAAATCCCCTCTCCGCATAATAATCAGAACATTAAACATACAGAACAAAGAAAGAATATTAAGCACCACAAGGAAAAAAGGCCAAGTAACATATAAAGGCATGCCTACGAGAATCACACTTGACTTCTCAATGGAGATCCTAAAATCCAGAGGATCCTAGAATGATATCTTGCAGACTGTAAGAAAACACAGATGTCAGCCCATACTACTAAATCCAGAAAAACTGTCCATCACCGTAGATGGAGAAAGCAAGATATTTTATGACAAAGTCAAATTTAAACATTATCTATCCACAATCCCAGCCTTACAGAAGGTACTAGAAGGAAAACTCCAACCCCAGGAAGTTAACTATACCCACAAAAACACAGGCAATATGAAATCTCACACCAACAAAACTCAAAGAAGGAAAACACACATACTATCAACAAAAATAACAACAAAATAACAAGAATTAACAATCATTGGTCATTAATATCCCTCAATATCAATGGACTCATGCTGGGAGCCATGTGACTTCTTCAGGGGACAAGGCCTGAGAATAGCACAAATTCTCCTTGTGGTAAGGCCCTGGAGAATCAGACCCATTTTGGCAAGGCTGGTGGATAGGTCCTGCATAATTCTGGGCATGACCCCAGGAGCATATATGCTACCTGCTCTCCTTGCTTTCTTTATACAAACCATATTGCTGGCTGCCTCTAGTTTCACATTCTCAAAGGTATGGATAAAATAGTTATTACAAAAGGAAAGCTTCCTGCTGATGACTCTTCTCTGGGTGAGCCAGAGAAGGTGTTGTTAAAACATGTTAAAACAGTGGACCTGATTCAGCCCCTAAAGCCTTTGCTGTTTCAAGTGTGACCATGAATTCAGGATTCTTAAGAACAGGATGTTACCTTTCCAATGTACTTTGTGACTAGCCTGAAAGAGTCACAATAGTTCATGATAATATGACAAATTTGCATAAATGTTCTGAAAAGAATGACTTTAACCACAAGAGTCTAGGAGAAATGCAAAGAAATGGATGATATCAAGAGTTAATGGGAACAGAGAATGAAGCAGAATTATAGAACTCCACAATGCCCTTGTTTCTAATAGCTGTGCCAACATTGTAGGAAGTTGAGAGGAAGAGGACATGAGAACAAAAAATAAGCAGTGCCAACTCTTTTTTTTTTTTTTTTTTTTTTTTTGCTTTCTAAGTTACAGTCTCTTTTATTTTTATTTTTTTTTTAATTTATTTTAATTTATTTTGCAATACAATTCAGTTCTACATATTGGTCACGGATTCCCTTGTTCTCCCC